TTAGGTGATTAATTAGAAGTTGACATATAGATCTGGCAATGAGATTGGCAGTCTATATAATTAGCAATGGCATTTTATAGATATTTTTAGGACATGTTTTGTTTTTCTTAATTTGGTTGATATGCTGAAACTTTGAAGCACTTAAATGTGCAGTCTTGAAAGCAATGCCTCAACAACAATAGTTATCATTGTTGGGATTATGTAACTGAAAGGAAAATTTTGGACCCATGAAATTGCTTTCAAAAACCTAACTAGCTAGGTAGATAGTTATTGTATATAAAGTATATATGTCAATTTATCTTTTCATAATATTTCGAAGGTATGAATTCGATATACTCGTAGATGATCAATCGAAGATCTTGCGAGAAAATTTCATGCTAAAGCTGAAAAAGTTGATTTAAACTATGAAAAACTCGTCAAATCTATCTAAACTTGAACCTAATCTAATTTAATTTGATAAAATAATTAATAATTTGAATCTGAAGTAATTTAAATCTAAACATTCTGAAAGATTAATTCGAAATTATTCAAAACAATTTGGACTCAAATAGTTTCTTGTGTCTGATCGAAAACTTGAATTTAAAACGATTTAAAAAATTTTTCAACTTAAATGACCTGACTCGAATTAACCAAATCCGACCCCGTAAGTCCAACTTAACCTCTAATTAAAGCTAACTAATTGAAAAGATTCCTTCCAACACTATTAGTTCATGTCCCCTAGATACTTTTCCAATCCACTGTGAATCAGGCAATGGAAGTCCAAAAGAAAGCTAAGGAAAGCAACTTTATATCTACCACGATCAAAGGCGAAGGTAGAAAATAAACAAGAATGACCAAAACAGTAATTTTAATGAAAAAGAGATTAAAGTAAAAATTTGACAAGATCAATCACTATAAAATGAAAAAGTTAAATTTTAAAGGTGGGGACTCCAGTCTGCCCCTCTTTATCTTCGCCTTTGACCAAGATTTGGTCTGAAAACAGCAAATTAGACTCTTTATATACGTACAGTCAACATTGTTATGGCACACCAATAACGATCTGTGCCTTCATAATGGACAGAAATTAAAGATCCGCCTGTGGTATTTGTATGTTGTGAACAGAGACCGGGGAATGTGGACAATCTAGTTGATAGAGATTCTCTCCACTATCATAAATGATTTCCATCATATTAGGGTTTAAATATATCAAAAAGCATGTTGACTAACGTGAACAAAAAGGAATTAATTAGTGATACATCTAGTAAGAAAATGTCAAACTCAAGGGTCCCTCACCATGAATTTATTAACCCTAAGATTCACTAAATCTCTTCTTTTTTGCCTAGATTTGACTTGCATTGCTCATTTCCGGTTGCCATATAAAAGAAAAATCCTAAAAGCCCATATCGTCGGGTTTTTTATGATATTTAAAGCTGTCGGAAATGAAACTCTAATAGTTTAAATAACAAAATTTAACACTTTATCAACAGACTAAATAATTATTAGTGTTCATCTACTCTACCTACAACTTTTCAGAAATTTTAAAATTCTTAGCTTCCCTTAGCATATAAATGGTGCTTTTCGACCTAAAAGAGATTGTGCAACCAAAGCAACCAACATACATTGTGGGGGCATGGAAGAATTGTATGCCCCAATTGTCAAGAGTGGTGTGTGAGTATGGTGGATTATGTGCTTGAGCTTTTAGACTGAGATAATGGGATCTGTAATCTGATTGGTTTATGGTGATATCCTTCTTGAATTTATCAAACCATGGGAAGGAGATTTCAACTTTGAAAGTAGAGTGCTACACTCTTTTGCCACACACAGCAAGTAAAAGTGAGAAAAGTTTTTTGTCAATTGTTTGAGTTCTTGCATGCAAAGAGGAAGTAATACATCAGACGATATGTCCTTTGCACACGACCAAAGACACAGCAAAAGATATCATAGTTTCCCTTCTAACAACCACGTCTCTAACACAAAAATATTTGTTGGCTAGGAAGGTATGAAATCACATCTCAGAAAGAGAAGAAAATTTTAAAAGAAAAAATAAATGGTTGATTGAAATGCATTTTGTCGACAGGATTACCTTAAGTGGGTGTAATAATTGTCGATAAGGATTGATTCCTTCAAGCCCATTTGGTGTAACTAGATAGCACATGCTTGGTTTCATCTAAGTGTGACAATCGACTGTTTGCTAGCTTGTAGTTATATTGGTTCATATCATTGGCTGATATATAACATTCATGAATTCTGGAGAGAAAAGAGCTTGTGTTTCTAACTATTAATGGGGAAGCCTAGATTCCAGAATATTGAACATTATTATTAAAGAAAATATATGAGGAAAATGCCTTTATTACATGGGTTTCTTTTTCATTAGAATTAGGTGTTGGTATAGTACGTATAAACGTTTAGAAGTTAATTTTCAACGGATTTTGCTAAGAAGTGCCTGGAATATTATTAAATTAATTTACAAAAATGAGTTTTTATTTAATTTTAATTTTTAAATATATTTTAAAATATTAAAATATTAATTTTAGAATTTTAATTTTAATTTTTTTTAGATCTTACCGATTGAACCAATAGGCCTTGGACAAAGAATTGAAAAGATCAGTCAAGTTTGGTTCAATTCCGACTTAATCCGATTCATAAATATATTTATTAAAGATATTTTTTAAAATTATTATAATAGATAAATATTTTTATCCATAAATTAGAATTCTCATATTAACTATGACTACTGTATTTAATACAAAATATTAATACAAATAAAATGTTATCGAATTTTAAAAAGTTTTTTAAAGTACTCATTAGTAAATTCATTTTTAACCTATCAACCTAGATTTTATAAAAAGCTTTTCCAAGAGAGTTATAGTCTTAAAAGATGCATTTTTGACAATGGGTGCAGAATCTAAAGAAAAATAAAGTACTGGTTTCGACTTCCTCTATTGCAAAACAAGGGATTGTGCAAATCAAGGGGCTATATATCCTATGCATATGGAGCATGAACATTGGATACATGAAGAAAAGGTATAATTGCTAACTAATACATCATTTAATTACCTCAAAATTGAGAAAAAAAATTTACTAAACAAATGGTAGTTTGTCATGTTTGGTAATATAATCACAGGTACTCCAAGTTTTGAGTCTAATTTTTTTTTTAACGATCTTAGAAAACATATTTTTTTATATAATTTGATTCATTCGAAATTTTACTCTTAAAATATTTCATGCAGTAATCAAAACTATTAATAAATTAATAGTAATTTGCTATATTTTTTATAAAAGAAATCGAATGTCATTTTTAAAAGGTAATTGTATAAATCAATTGATAAATTTTAGGTTGATTTGAAAGCGTAATGATTTTTATGTAGATCGAAAGGGAAACTAATTAAGGTAATAGAAGAAGAAAATAGAGGAATGATATAGAAAGGAGGGTTGTTGTAGTACCTTTAATAGACAAGGGGCGTGGCTCCAATTGGAATGGTGGAAAGCTTAAGGTCCTTTAGTTTTGGATGCATCGATAGATACTTGGGACAAACATGTGGGAAAAAAGCGTTTTTGCTTCTAATACAAACTATAAATTGTTTTTTCTTACCCTCTGTTCTTGATGTGGACGCAGAACCACAACCCTCCGATCATTCATTTCAAGGCCCTAGTGATAATGGATATTGGAAAGATGACCTGATACCAACAATATGTAAGGATATTATCTTTTTTGTTTTTTTTTTGGTAAGAAAAAATATAAAGTAAATAGGTTGCTAAATTTTTATATTAAAATAAAATGTGCGTAAGTCGTATATTCCGAGATTATCTTAAAAAGTAATCATCGACAAAATTCAAACTCAAAAATTTTTCATTGAAAAAGATAAATATTAATTAATTGAGTCAATCACTTATTAATATATGAAAATATATTATCAAGATTTCCCAAAGATTCCAATATTAATCTTACAATATAATACTTTTTCAATCTCATAAATACGGTCTATTATCCTATTAATATCTCGTTTGAAAAGTTATAAATGAAAATTCATTTTTACTTTATAAATTTATAATGGATGAGAGTCATAATTCAATTTAAAATTTTTTAAACTTCGTATTTTTCTCTTTAAACGAGATCTAAATTTTAGCGACAACTTCATTAGATATTTTACAGTTAAAATTCTTTTTTTTTTACACCGGAAACCCTGGTTAGATGGGATTGTTCTCTTCAAACAGAATGAACGAAGATATAATCAAATCCAATTCCATAAATATGAGTACAAGCTTTAAGTTCACCTATCAGTATATATAAATATTTTTTTTTCTCTTGGTTTAGAATTGTATTAGAATATATAGCAAGAAGACTGCAATGGAATGGTACCTAATGAACAAAAGTTCAAAAGAAGAATAAAATTGATTAGCATGCATGGTTAAGCAGTTCATTTTAATGTAAACTTTGGAGCTAAAGGACGTGGGAATGGAGGAGGATGTGGAACTTTATATATCCAATAGCATATAGTAGAAGAATATGTAGTGATAAGAGTGACAGCCACCAAAATTTTTCAATTTTCTCACGTGGAGATAGATTCGGGTAAACTTAAACTTCCTATGATTTTCTGCCGATGGAATGTGGATATGTTTCCATTTTCTAGGGAAAATGACAACTGTGATTGGAACAGTGCTAGTTTTGGCAACGTGCTGCTAATATCGCACGGTTAAAATAAGATTTCAATGCCATATTTTACATCGCTATCGACTATTTACAATTGCAGTATGGAATTGTACCTTTGTTTATGCGCTTTTAAGGCACCGAAAATACTATACAAACACTCAACAATCTGCTAGGCCCCACTGCCTACCCCCACCACCACCCTATAAAAGCCTCTTCCCCCTACATTTCTTCCACTCACTCCCTAAATTTCTTTCTTTATATTTTTCATACTGATCACAGCAAATTAGAGTGATTGCCATATTGGTTTGCATACTCGGAAGCAACAAAGGAAACAAGAAGAAACAAGAGCAGCAGAGAAAGAAATAAAGATATGGTTGAAGCACTTGAATCTCATCAACAGTACCCGACAATGCCAGAGGTATAAAATTTTTGACACTCTTCTCACTGGAAGAAGGATTTTTCATTGTAACAGAGCTGACTAATTTGTTTCCTTGTCTATTTAGGTGATGGAGGAGCTAAAGAGAATAATTAATATAGGCTTCCCTATAGCAGCTATGAGCTTGGTGGGTTATCTGAGGAACATGATTTTAGTTGTGTGCATGGGAAGGCTAGGCAGCCTTGAGCTTGCTGGTGGGGCCTTAGCTATCGGTTTCACAAACATCAGTGGATATTCAGTCATATCAGGCCTTGCCATGGGCATGGAATCCCTTTGCAGCCAAGCTTTTGGTTCAAGAAACTTATCAGTAGCGTCTCTCACTTTGCAAAGAACAATTATAATGTTACTACTTGCTTCAATACCTATCGGCTTGATATGGTTTAACCTTGAACCTCTCATGCTTAGCATCAATCAAAACCCTGATATAACCAAAGTTGCAAGCCTTTACTGCCGGTTTGCCATCCCGGATCTTATTGCAAACAGCCTTCTTCATCCTCTACGTATTTACTTGCGCAGTAAAGGAACAACTTGGCCTTTAATGTGGTCTGCCTTAGTTTCAACCATTTTTCATCTCCCTATCACAATCCTCTTATCCTTCACTTTACGTTTAGGTGTCCCTGGAATAGCAATTTCCACCTTCATCACCAATTTCAACACCCTTTTCTTCCTTCTTTGTTACATGTTCTACACTCGCACAACTTCAGCCCCAGAGGAGTCAATAACCACGCCATTGTCACCATCATCGCCGTTGCCACCACCTTCTTCAACAGCTCTAATAGACCGAGAGGAATGGGATGTTTTACTTCGACTAGCAATACCAAGCTGCATTGCTGTTTGCTTAGAGTGGTGGTGGTATGAGTTTATGACAATTCTAGCAGGGTATTTGTCCGAACCTCGAGTTGCTCTGGCAACATCAGCTATAGTGATACAAACAACTTCTCTCATGTATACATTGCCAACAGCACTTAGTGCATCAGCCTCAACCCGAGTAGGCAATGAGCTCGGAGCAGGGAGGCCGAGCAGGGCACGGTTGGCCGGGGTAGTAGCCATTGGACTGGCCCTGGTGACCTCATTTTTTGGATTATTAGGGACCATATTGGGTAGAGAAGCATGGGGAAGAGTTTTCACTGCGGATAAAGAAGTTCTTGAGTTAACCACGATTGTACTACCCATAATTGGAATATGTGAGCTAGCAAATTGTCCGCAAACCACAAGCTGTGGGATTCTAAGAGGAAGTGCTAGGCCCGGGATAGGGGCAACCATAAACTTTTACTCATTTTATATGGTGGGTGCACCATTGGCAATAGTCCTAGGCTTTGTTTGGAGACTAGGGTTCGTGGGGCTTTGTTATGGCCTGCTAGCTGCTCAGATTGCATGTGTAGTCTCGATCTTAACAGTGGTTTTCAGGACAGATTGGGAGAGAGAGTCGTTGAAGGCCAAAGACTTGGTGGGCAAAAGTGACCATTTTGCACATGCAGACCAAACTGTACTGATCAAATGCGAAGAAGGGGTTGGATTTCTCAAAGAAATGGGCTTTGAAAAGTGAGAAAAAAAAAAAGGGTTTTTGGTTAATCAAGGAAACGTACACAAAAAAACGCCCATTTAACAGGACATATTGAAACTACACTTTTCATCTTCATTATTATTTTCCAACTCAAATTATATACTTATATACATATATATATATATGTATATGTATCTGTTTGTTCTGTCTTTTCTTTATTTCCCTGTCCCCACTAATCACTTTTCCATTTTTTTTCTTAAGTCCAGTTACCTACTAATCTTTGGCCATGCACTAGGCCATGCACCTTTGTATACCAATCAATTAATGCTGATTATATAAACAGAATTATCAGTATGTTATGAGATGTAGATTCTGCTATTAATTTGAGCATTTCTTTTCTCATTTTTTTTCTTTTCCAACTTTCCACAAAAATCATAATCCAATAATTAAACTACAGAGCCTTCGTCCTTCCAGGTTTCTTGTTATTAAACCGTCAACCTCAAAAGCTGAACTCAACCCTGATAGATTGATGAGATATATATCCTGAAAACACCACTATACCAAACCACCTAGCTAACTAGGTAGGGGACCTTACATCAGAAATGAACAGGGAAGTCCCCTGTCATTTGCTGGCACACATGTGCAGCATGTGCAAGTCTCTGGTTGGGTTAGACATCTGAGCTCACTCAGTACCTAGTAACAGTGTTTTCATTTATATTGACAAGAACTGTCTACATTTCTTTTAATCTGCAAATGGAAATTATTTCACCTTCTTGCATGATCATTGCCGCCCCAAATCTTGGAAATTAAAGCTCCAGCATGCTAAAAAAGTGTCTTGAAAGAATTTCAACCTTTAAGACTTTGCTAAATCAGTAGTTATATTAAACTGGAACACTTTCTTTTACCAAATATTTGTTAATTATTAGTTGGTTCAAACTCATGTATGAGAAATTAGCAACTGTCAAAGGTTATTAAATCCAGCTGCCATGTCTAGAACATGTTATTTGAACAATATAAAATTAGCCTGAAGGTTGTTGTATTTTGAAGGATGAAAAAACTTTAAGCCACCTACTTTTTCTGTTTTCTCTTTTTGAATCCAAGGGAATTTCATGAGTGGTCCAACATTTCTGCTGAAAAAAAAGAGTGATCAGGATCATGAATCAGAACTCTATGTATAGAAGGGGTAGTTGTTAAAGATTTCTGTCGACGAAACCTGCTACAAAGTGAAGTATGTTTCAAAATTTCAAAGCACGAGTTCAAAAATGAATCAGTTCATTTCCATTAAAGAATAGTTTCTTGCCTTCTGATTTGCAAAGAAATTGCGTGAGAGAAGGATATTTAGAGCCGGTAGGCAGTACTTCCATTTTGTTGAAAGTTGAATAATATATGATACCTAGTATAAACCTCTGCCTTACTATTTCACAATGATATTGATTAGACTTCAAGAGAACTAAGATTTTTCTTGTCCAATATAAGTATCCTTTGCAATAATGAAGTTGGAACCCAATCCCTTTTCCATCCACAGCTAATGAAAATGACTTCATGGCTGAAATGACTGTAAACAAAGTACATAATGAAGAGAAACAAGAGCAAGAATTTCCTACGCATTGACTGAAGCACGGTATATTTGCTTGTTTTTGAGACATTTGTGCTTGTCTTTTCTAATATAGTTTAACCCCAATCGAATTGGCCCATTTCGAATTCAGATTCTGACGCAAAACAGCGGAACTGATGCATAATACAGTAAGTTCTTGTCCAACTAATGAAAATCAAGTTCACATAGGTTTGCCTAAGGGACCAGGTGCTCGAGCTTAGCAATGGCTTGAAGGACATATAAACCATCACATCGTGGACATAACGTGACATTGTTTCCTTCATTATCACGAATGGACCACCCAAATTATGCACAATCAAGTTTTCTTGCATGGTTCATGACGTACTGTGCATGGCATCTGAAAATGACATTATAATAGTAACCCCAATATCTTATATCATCCCTTCCCCTATGCAAAAATTTTACAGTAGTGTAATTGACATATTCCGTATAAAAAAGGAGGTGGTCTGCAAAGGGACATCTCAATGGTTAAAACCCAAGAATCCCATCTTAAAAATCTCGAGTTCGTATCTTGAGACAAGCATGATGGAATATATGATAATCATGAGAAATAACTATCTCCAATTGTTTAGTACTAGCTTTTATTTGAACCCAAATCATACAAAAAGGTCTGTATGTTGTACAATTGTGCTGATACAAGAACTATACATTAGACCAAATACCAAATACCAAATTCCAAAATTTTAAAAGTAGAAATGATGGAAAGTGAAACCAAATGAAGGAAACAGTGTAAAGGTAAACTGGTAAATTGAACAGTTCATTATGTTTTTTAATCCCTCCATTATAGTGCTCTCTCACTTTTGGAAAATTGAATCTTTGGGTGTGAATATCTTCCTCTTATTCCTTCCTATTCCTACCAAACTTCAAAAAATATTATCAATTCTTTTTTTTTGCCCCCCCCCCCCCTACCACATGGTTAGAGAAAGAGAAAGGAATTCTTTTGCTTTTAGCATTTTCAAATATGCTAGGAAAGATGATGGGGTGACGTTTCCGTCATGCAATCAATAGATCATCCAAGGAAAAGGAAAAAAAAAAAAAAAGAAATCATACAAGCAAGGGCTATTATCACGTGGCCATTATTCTCTTCCCGTAAAACTTACATATTGAAGTGTGACATTAGGATACGGTTAATTAATTATATCGTCTATATTTAGTTTTGGGAAACAGTATGAAGTGACAGAGATAAAAAAATAAGGTGTTAATCACAGTCTTGTTGATGAAAATGGATTTGATATTGACTTCAACTGAATTATAGTACCTTTGCCTTTGCATTAAAAACCCAATTTGGCTTATGAAAATGATTTGATATGGTCCCAATTAAAAGAAGACGATGGCGGCCAAACTGTGGAAAAGAATGACGAATGTATCACTCTCTCTTTCCTACCCCTTGTCCATGTATGGAAAAAGATCATACCAAAGCTTTATTCTAATCTTCCCCTCTGTTCATATTACAATATTGTTGTCAAGCTAAAGCAAAAAAAGAGTGTACTTTTCAACAAGAAAGATATACATGGAACTCAATTAAGTTCACATTACGATTGTTACTCCTTTTTTAAGAGAGGTAATTAAGATTTGACATTTGATTAATTCTAATTCAGTCGCTGGTTAAGCCTATGTAGCAGAAAATGCAATAGGTTCAATATTAGTCTTCACAAAGTTGATGAGATTCCTTGGAAAAGATGATTGGAACAACTGAGGTGAAACGACCAGACAAAATCATGAGTACTAAGGTCTGGGGTTACTAAATTTTGCATGGTGCAGCCATTGGACTCTACGGTCCTGTGCTTAGGATGACTCGATGCTATAGCTCTCCCAGGCGCAGTGAGGTCTGGTCCAAGTCCTTCAAGCACCATTAGGTAAAGAAAACGACAGACAACCAGATGATCTGCAAAGGATTTTTTTCAGAGTCACATCCAACTCGATCCCCCCCTCCCCCAAAACTACCGCAAAAATGAACAGGCAATTAGGAACATTTTTTTATCTAATTTCTTCAACTGGTTTATGGACATATTGCATGTGCAAGATTTAATTCACCATGCATGGAGCATATCACATGTCTGTAAACTCTTTCCATTCCTTCTCTTTTATATATACATCCATCTCCCACCCTTTTGAAACATGTGAAGAATTGAAATCCAAGATTCTAGTGGAATTAAGACTTGAACCAGAAAGGGACGACACAACATTGATATTTCTTGTTTGTCACTTTTTCCTTTCCAAGACAGTGAAAAAGGGAAATATATTTAGCTATAGTTAGAAACCAAGGAGACACGAAAAAAAAAAAACGTGGGAAATGCGAATTTTGACCCCTGGAATGGAATTGGGAAAGGACCAATTTTTTTCGTTTTTGGTTTGGCAAGATGGGACTGTGCTCATCTTGGCTGTGGGATGGCATAGTTTTCTGCCTTTTACAACATGGGTTGTTGATTTATAGCTCAAATTGTGTAAAAGCTTATGCTTCCATCACCAATTTGTCCACAAACGAAAGTGGGGGCTTGCTTCCTTTTCCATGTTTCTGTGCCCTGGACCCTGGTGGAACTGGAGTAGATCCCATTGTTTTTTAATCCAGTTTAACTGGTAGTTAGCTTTTCATCAAAAAGAAAAAATGGAAAGTGAGGGCTCATGACCCCAAAACCAAAGATGAAAATGAGGCCCTGATGTTGGTTGTTTCCTCCCAATATTTCTAGTAGAGTTTTTAGTTGTTGCAATGTACACTTAATTAAAATGTTCATCAGCTGTTTATTATGGAATTTACTAAGACATATGTGAAGTTCTTTACATAAAATTTATGAATTTTTTATAAAAATAATTTAATAAAAATATAAGTTGATAAAATTTAATGAAAAATAAATTATATGTAAAAAATTATTAAAAATACATTAATAATTTAAATTTAATTAGTATTTATTTAAGGATAAATATTCTATAAAAATTTTAGTAAAAACTTATGTAAAAAGTATATAAAAAATTTTAAAAGCTTTTTCAATTTTTTCTTTTTTGAAAAGTAAAACAATTATTCATAAAGAAATCATGTCCCATGGTTTTTTTTTTTTTTTTTACCTATTAGGTGAAAAAAATAATTATCATATTGGATTAACAACCCAGATTTTGCCTAGCCTTGAGATTTTATCTCCATTTAATAGGGTTAAAATCCAAGGATGAAATATTGGTCTTTATTTTTTTTACTTTTTGTTACCATTTGTCTTTATTTTTTTTCCTTTTTATTCACCTGTGGCAAAAAAAAAAAACAAAAAAAAAATGTGCCAAACTAAGCTCTAGCATTCACCAAAAGAAAACTTGGGCTGACCTTTTCTCCTTGAATCCACAGTGTAGTTTTGGGCTATACTAACCCAAAAAAATTGGGCTCCATCCAACAAAAGTAATTTCCCACCATCTCACCAACACTACAAAATATTACCCAAGGCCC